ATAATTTCATCAACTAGTTTGTTGAAGAGACTTTGCAGATTTGCGAAGATAACCTTCAATGACGGTTTTGTTGGACAAACTCGGCCTTCAGTGTGACAGGTTCTGACCACAGGAAAGACCCCTTAGTCTGGACTATTTGTCCATTTTTGATCTTCAGCCCTTTCTTTCCTCTGCCAATTCTCTCCTTCAATTCTGATCTTAGTTCTCTCATTTTCAGTCTTTCCCTCGGTTCGTAGTCCGGTGGAAAAAAATACTTCCTTGTGCGAGTTGTGCAAGGTCGTTCTACTTTCTAACAGAAGCGCTGCTTGGGCTTCATTTTCCAAAATAACTTTTAGGCTCTTCGGTATGTTTTTAGATCACGATCTGGGTTCGCTTTGCCTAGTCGGAAAGCTTTTCTAACAGTGAATATTTTCCCATCCTTCAGGACGGCACTGGCGTACTGATGAAGAAGGTCTAGTTCGTGCGTCACTTGTAGCGGCTATGCGGTGATGGTGTACGCTCAGTACGCCGCAACTTCAGGCCATATCCCTAGTTGTTAGAAGCAGGACCCCATTTGGTTATGACACTTAATTCTGTACAGAATAATGAAGGGAAAAGTTGGCAACCGGACGAGGATGCGTCCTGTGCCGCGGAGGCGGCGTCCGCGAGAGCGACGAGCCCTGTGTCGCCGAAGGTCGCCGCTGCAAAAGTGTCACTGTAGATTGTTTACTCTATTGTTCTGGACTGTTCCCGCCTGCCTTACCAATCAGCGATAGGAGTTACGTTAATTGGCTCCGAGCTCAAGCGGAGGTAGTGGCAAGCCTCGCGTGGTGCAGGCAGAGAATCGACCGAATGCGTGGTGCAGACAGCGAATTGCAAAGAGACAAATCGAAGCCGGACAGACGTGCGTGCCACAGAAGGCTGTCGCTAGAACGTAGGTGCAGGCGCTAGCGAGAGGCGCGACGTAGCCATTATGGCTGCCCATTACACACTCGTTCCTTCGGAATGCAGGACATGGACTCTGGGGCGCCCCTTATGACAATATTGAGCTTACGATTTATGGAAGAGCTCATTACTGTCCCGTCCGCGCTAGGACGATGTAATTCTGCTGTAGTATTCGCGACGGATGTTGACACTTTGACACTTGACTGATTTTCCGCCGGCGAGGGGGGTATAGGGCATGGATTTTCATGTGACATACTTGCTCCGACAGTGGAGCTCTTACAATCATTACCTTGCTGCGATTTACTGCACGAAGGCTTATCGTGTCCTTTTCCGTCAACAGAATGGTAAGGGCACTTCGCAGTTCAGTTAGCCTTGTGAAGAAGTGGAGTATCAGCGTTACCTTCTGAGGGTCACCCTGGCTTTCCCAACTTTATTGTTCAGTGATTTGGCACGTTTAGTTACTATAGCAGGTAATGAAACCTGACTTATTTTAAATGCATAAGCGTCGACCGCCACGTTATCCCCTGGAGACATAACTCGCTTCCTCTTCATGAGTGACTTCCAGTTTTCCGCGCCAGTGCCTTTATATGTAGGATGTCCGTCGCCTATCGATCGGAAATTTGGCGGATTATTTAGTAATTCTATCTTACTGTGCTTCAGAATAACCATAATGATGTCCGTAAGTAGGCCCTGCTTCTCTTATAGCGTCTGGACTCGCCTTCCAAGTTCCTCACAGCCGACACAGCGACCGACAAGCGCAGAATCCGTCCCGTCTGTCATACAGTTTTCAAGGCCTCTTGGCAGTGAATCGGTTCTTATTTCCTGTCTTGTCTCGTGGAGCCTATTGTGTTTAAGCCCCCTGGCCTCTAATGATTCCAGCGCCATTTTATTGAAAAAGACTGCTATTGAATTAAAGACCGTTCCCAGTTGCTTTTCTGTAGTCAACAAACTTATCTGACCAGCCTCTGACCGTTCGTCGATAGTGTAGTGGTTGACACCCTGGCCTCCGGATTCGCAGGTAATGAGTACAAATCCCGCTTTTGCGACTTTTGTGAACTCGATTTTTGTAACTGATCGGCTCATTGTTGATGGTTTTGAAACTCGTCAATCAGTTCTAGAGTACTGCACGATGTTTCCAGCAATTGTTAGAATAAAGACTTTGCCAATTATGAAGTTAAATAGAAAACGACTCAGCCGATTATAGTTTTCGACGTAGATCTCGGAAAAAGTCGTCAAGTAGGGAGCCTTGTACACATGGGTGGACAATTGCAAACATCCGTTGGTGGAGAATTTGTGGTATACTTCACCGGCGCGAATTAGAGGACTAATTAGTGGCTTTGTTTCTTGGATAATTCGGGTAGAATCTTCCTCCTAATACCGTGGGAAATAACGTCGAGATCCACAAAATTGCAAGAATAATAGAAATTTCGAGCTGGTATACTCGAAATCTAAATCCAAAGGATACGTTTTCAGTTCGCAGTTTATTTCCACGCGAAGGTCAGTCTGCCCTATACTACCAAATAAAATCAACGAAAACACGGAGAGCTGGGAATTCGAATCAAAGTCGAAGGATAGGCGTGTTTCTAGCTAGCCGAAAATACTGAGTCATGCCCCATGAATGCAGTTAGACTTTTTCGGTAAACATAGAAATGTAATCCGGTGTCTCCTGTCAGTGGAAAATAGACAACAATTAGCATTCTTCAAATGCCGGAGCTAATACAGGGAAGACCGAGACAGATGTAAAACGATTGAAAAAAATCACAAAACTGAAAAAAATCTATTCTATTCTGTTTGCCGACCACGGAGGGAGGATAACTGCTTCTCGGTAACTAAAATAGTCTGTGGTACGGGGATGGCGTAGCTCTCTAACCGAGACCGTGTGACGTCAACGCCTTGCAGTCATAGATCATGGGGCACTTTGTAGAGAATTTCAAAAGCGTCTTCAACCACCTCCACACGACCTGCGAAATGGCCAAGAACTGACTTTCTTAGTTGGCACGATGTCTTCTTGATCCATCGTTTTTCAAACAGAAGTCAAATTAGGCAGTATAACTGATGCCTGTGGAAAGTTCCAAATAACCTCTCGGATTCTTTCGAAATTTGCAAACAAAGCGGTCCAAAAACCTCCAAAGTCCTCAGTTTGTTTTTTCAGGATACACGTTGATAAGGACAAAACCCATATGCATCCGTACAGATACCTGGGACACGGCCAAAACATGAACGACCACCGTGAACTCCCACTCTTTGTACGGCTGCTATCAAGACGTTTGTCTTCTAGCTAATCATTCACTTAAACATATCGCTAGAACATGGACTGCTTCCTCAAACAAAGTTGCAACATGAGTATGAGTTTTGCGGTGCACCAACTGCAAATAAAAGTCCGGGAAAATGTCAGCAATCTCTGCATCACCAAATTTCGGGTGTCCAGAATGAGTCAGTCAAGTGGTTTGTGCTTCTAGAAATAGGGTAGTTTTGTAGGCGCTTATGGTAGTAGTGCGACGAAAACGAACTGCATACTTGTTCCACTCTCTTAAGTCTCATGCAACCAAGCACGAGGAAGGACGCCTATCGTGGAAACGGTCAGAAATAGACGTCGCCTATGGAACCGACTGATAGTTCATCATGGCCCGACGTATGAAGGCATCCATGACTGTTTCGGGGTCCACTGCAAACGATCTCCTCTCCGCGGATGATCGCACGCTAACCGAAACGACGGTGGTCCAAATACTACTAATTGCTGATATCTTTGTTAATGGCTGTTCACGCTTCAAAATGACATTAAACACGTAGAACATAGCGGTCATGTGCCATTTAGGAACTTGATGGACTTCAGTTCTCTGTCAGAGGAAACCGCCACATGTCTGTGGGCAACACTGCTCAAAATTGTAAGAAACACCAACATGAACGACGAAATTAGAAGTCTGGCCTCAAATTCAACAGCATTTTGAGCAGGCTACAGACATTTTTTATGAAGCCACGATGGCGTGTACTTCACCATTCGATGCGCGATGTGCAGGGTTGTTGCCTTGGCTACGTTCCTTTGCACGGCGGATACATGTCCTGGGTCAGCGTGGACTAGGAAAACGCGACGAACGAGATTATGTGCGTAGTCGTGGCAATAGCAGATGAGATATGATAATGACCTTTAGGATAGTCAGAGGGCTGGATTGTACTCTTCAGCTTGGTGATATCTTCGAAATGGCGCGAACGACCAATCTCCAAGGTCACCAATACCAATCGACAGCAGAGTATGCCAACCTTGAATTTCGGCCCAAATTACTCCCCCGCCGACTGGTTATGGGATGGAATGGAATGCGAAAATTCACCGTACTGGCGAAAAACGTCACGACTTTCAAAAAAGACTTGGTAACTTTATACTAGATGGTCGAATATTTCAATGATCGACAGAACTTTTACGTCATTATGTGCATACTTCTCATACGTCTGTAAATAGGGCTTTCCAAGGTCCTGCCTATAGCCCTTATATATACTGAATTATACTGAATAAGGTTCAGCTACAATGAGGACAGGTTAGGACTGAACCCACACTGCTGATGCTGGTGATAGTTGTCGGGACTTTGTGGGGATGTGTGAATGAGTTTGTTTCCGCGTCGTTGCCACTGTTGTCTTTATTCTGTGTTCGTGTGATGATCTCGGCAGGTTTCAGTGACGGTGGATCCGAAGGCATCTGAAGAATGCGATTCGGGCTTCGCATGTCGGTTGGCAATGATCGCGCGTTGACAGCTATTCAGTTTTCAGCGTATCTGAGCGAAATAGGCTTACGCCTTTAAACTCCCTATTTGTACATATAAATCTAAAAAATTAGCAACAACATGATGGAATTCCAGTAACAAGTAAAGGCAGGCATCGATTCAAATAGAGCACAGATTTTTTATGGTTACAAAGTCACATAGTCCGATTGTTGGTGTGGCATGCGTCTGTCAAGCCGATATTTTAATCTCTCCACAGAGACATTACAACCGCATAGGCAGGTTATTCCACGATTCCGTGACAAGGTCGGGGAAAATATACTTTCTCACATCCAATCTTGCTTTAGGGACACGAAGCTTGGATGGATGTCCTTGGAAGTTGTTTGCAGTGGCGAGGTGGAAAAAGTCGTCACATCGGGCGATGCAGTCCAAGCCACGCACGATACGGTAAGTTTGTATCAATTCTCGAGCAAATTCCTATAACTAAGAGGATAGACATTAAGTTTATGAAAGTGAGTCTCGTAAGACAATGTACTTTGACCTCTTACCCATTTTGTGGCTTGCCTTTGCACCCTTTCGAGTGAATTGCACTCCTGCTGCGTCCATGGTTTCCAAGCCTGGATTGCATATTTAAGCTGTGACTTTGCAAATGTACCAAAGAGTATAGTGAGGTATTCTTCATCGAAGACTGTGAACGCTCGTCTAATGGTGTACATAATTGAAGTTGCGGTTTTAGCTGCCTTACGACATGACGTAGAAGGTCGTAGAATGTCTGCAACGCAATTTCCGTGATCTTTCTGAGTTTCTCTTTCTAGGAGCGGCATACCGTTTAGATAATATTGTCGCGTCTTACGGATCTGGTTTCGATTCCCCTGACTCAGTATAATGCATTTGTTCAAATTAAAGGCCAGGAGCCATCTGCGGGACAACTCGTCCATTCGACAAAGATTTTCTTAAAAGTCGGTCTCGTCGGCAGCAACGCGGATGACTTTCAAGATTTATACATCATCTACGAACACGGCACAATCCCAGTCCAACCCCTATACACAATCATTAATAAACAAAAGAAAGAGGGTCGATCCGAGCACTGAACCTTGTGGGAATCCACTCTCTATCACTGTGTCCCTTGATTGCTATTGCTCCAAGCAGACCATTCGGGAGCGGCCGACGTGGCAGTTCTCGACCAATTTAAGAAACCTGCGGCTGATACCCATCACTTTCAACTTGCAGGGGAGACGCTAGCGCGGAACACTGTCAAACGCCTTCGGGAAATCGACTTACGCTGTATGCACGGTGTGTTTTGCATCCATTGCTCTTGTCCAACTTTGAATTGTGTATAGCAAGTGCGTTACACACGACCTTTCCCTACGAAAGCCGTATTGCACATTGTACAAAGGTTATAGTTTCCAAATAAGCCATCACCTTCCTTTTGATCTCAGTGACTATGTAGCAGATGGATGTCAGACTGACGGGTCTGTAGTTCGTCGCAAGAGCGCGATTACCGCATTTGTAAAGGGGTGTATGCGAATTGATTTGCGCAAAAATGCCCACGATGGACCTGCAGGCATTGTGTGACTGGTTCTCCAGCAGCCGCGACTACTCCACTACCTGCTCTCATGCTAAACCTGTGGTCTAAGATCCAAGTAGATCGGAGGCAAATGGGTGAATGAATAGTAAGTGGTATTTATGCAGACGCCACCAGGTAAGTTCTTCCTCAGGAAAGTGCATTTGCTCTGTTTCTTCCTTTGTCTGTTGAAGTTCCGTGTCGTATGCTGCTCTTGCTGCCTGCCCTCTGTATGCTAGTCTGTCTGTTAATAGCTAGACGAAACCCTCACTGCCTTCTGCGACTGTCTGTCTGTCAGTCTATGCCTCTCTGCTAATAGCTAGGTGTTACGGTGCTTGACTTTGAGTGGTGCCCTCATTTGTCTCTGACTGATGAATGTGTTCGCTTGTCCACCCTAGCTAGCTGTAAGTCCCATAGCGTTGGGTTGTGTGTATGCTCTCTCCTACTTCACTCCCTCACATCACCATCACCACCAAGGTCCCAGGCTAATTCGGGTCGTTCTCTCACTAACAAAAAGTCGTGGCCCATAGTGGAGTCCGGCAGCCGTCTGGGATAACCGGGCAGCCCTATTCAGGGATGCGTTGCCTGCCCTCGCGAGGGGGAGGGGGCTAGAAAAGGTGCCCCAAAGATCGCTGGGAACCACACTGTCTGTAGGCTGGCCGTGGCCGCAGACAAAAAACACACGGTCGGAACAGCCAAAACCGAAACAACAACAACAACAACAACAACAACAACAACAACAACAACAACAACAACAACAACAATCACCCTCTTCCTCTTCCAGCCTATTCTTCTTCTCCTACTCCTACTTTTCGCCGCCGCAGTCGCCAGACTGGCAGGGTGAGCCCGCTCACGCTGGTAGCCTGGAATGTTCGTTCCCTTTTAGACAATCCGAGGAGAAACCGACCGGAACGGAGGACGGCGCTAGTGGCACGAGAACTGGCGCGCTACAAGGTGGACATCGCCACACTCAGCGAGACCCGTTTCTCCGAACAAGGCCAACTGAAGGACGTAGGTGCCGGCTACACCTTCTTCTGGAGCGGTCGACCCAGGGCAGAGCGACGGGACGCGGGTGTCGCCTTCGCCATTCGGAACGACATCGTGGGACGACTGCCCTGTTTGCCGCAGGGCATCAACGATCGCCTGATGAGCCTCCGCCTGCCTCTCTGGGGAGGCAAATTCGCCACTATCATCAGCGCCTACGCTCCGACGATGACCAACCCCGACGCTGTCAGAGACAAATTCTACGAGGACCTGCACGCCTTCTTGGAGTCTGTGTCGAAGGCGGACAAGTTGACTGTCCTTGGTAACTTCAACGCCCGCGTCGGCACAGACCATACTGCCTGGAGAGGAGTGCTGGGTCCTCACGGTCTCCGCGGCTCAAACGACAATGGTCTGCTGCTTCTCCGCACCTGCGCAGAGCACCGCCTCATTCTGACGAACACGTTCTTCTGTCTGCCGGAGCGAGAGAAGGCCACCTGGAGGCATCCTCGGTCGCGCCAGTGGCACCTGCTGGACAATGTCCTCGTCCGGAGGCGAGATCAGCGGGACGTGCTGGTGACGAAGGCGATTGCGGGCGCTGACGGGTGGACTGACCATCGCCTCGTCATCTCGAAGATGCGTATTCGCCTACAGCCTCGCAGGAGACCACAAGGTAAGCGACCCCCAGGTAAGCTGAATGTTGCCTTGTTGTCTTTGCCCGCTCACCATCTTCATTTCAGCAATGAGCTAGCTCAACGGCTAGACAACCTTCCTATCGCTGCCGCCGTTGCCGAAAACGCCTCCGTGGAGAACCGCTGGTGTCAACTGCGAGACACGGTCCAGTCGACGGCGCTCGCCATCCTCGGTCGCGCTCCCCGCCAACACCAGGACTGGTTCGACGAAAACGACGCCGCCATCAGAAATCTGCTTGCTGAGAAGAACCGCCTACACAAAGCCTACGTTGATCACCCAACTGTTGCCAACAAAGTTGCCTTCTACCGCAGTCGCCGCCAACTTCAGCAACGACTGCGTGAGATGCAGGACGCCTGGACTTCTCGCAAAGCTGAGGAGATCCAACGGTACGCGGACCGCAACGAATGGAAGAACTTCTTCTCCGCTATCAAAGCAGTCTACGGTCCGCCGACGAAGGGCACTGCTCCTCTCCTCAGCGCCGACGGCAACACTCTCCTGACTGAGAAGATGCAAATTCTGCAGCGATGGGCCGAGCATTTCCGAGGCGTCCTCAACCGCCCCTCCGTCATCTCCGACGCCGCCATCGAGCGTTTGCCGCAAGTGGAGACCAACGTGGACCTCGACCTCCCGCCATCTCTCCAGGAAACCATCAGGGCCGTGCAGCAGCTCTCCAGCGGGAAAGCACCCGGATCGGACGCAAACCCTGCTGAGGTCTACAAGCACGGAGGTCCCCAATTGATGGATCATCTGACTGCGCTCTTTCAGGAGATGTAGCGTCACGGCGAAGTCCCGCAAGATTTCAAAGACGCAACCATCGTGCATCTCTAAAAGCGCAAAGGAAATCACCAAGTCTGCGACAATCACCGCGGCATCTCCCTGCTGAACAACGCCGGGAAGATCTTCGCACGAATCCTCCTCAACCGCCTGGAACAGGGCCTCCAAAGCACAGTTTGGAATCGCCACGGTCTTCAGCTGAGCACGAAGCTGAAGATGTTCAAGGCCGTCATCCTGCCGACACTACTGTATGGAGCGGAGACTTGGACGGTGTACGCAAAGCAGGCACGTCGTCTGAACCACTTCCACCTCAGTTGTCTTCGTCGCATCCTGAGGCTAAAGTGGCAGGATCGAATCCCCGACAATTATGTGCTGGAACGGACGGGAATCCTCAGCGTCTACGCCATACTGAGGCAAATTCAGCTGCGCTGGAGCGGCCACCTGGTGCGCATGGACGACGAGCGACTACCAAACGACTCTTCTACGGAGTCGTCGCAACGGGTACTCGCCGTTACAAGGAGACCCTGAAGTCCTCCCTGAAATGCCTGCAAATCAACCCCACCAACTGGGAGGAGCTCGCACTCGATCGACCGACCTGGAGGAGGACACTGAAGACAGGCGCTGCGATCTACGAAGCCAACCGCATCGCTGCCGCCAAAGCGAAACGTGAATCCCGCAAATCACAACTCCGCCCAGTAAGCAACGCCGCCGCACAACCGCTTCCAACGTGTCCTCGATGTCGACGGACATTCCGGGCTCGAATCGAACTTGTTGGACATCTTCGGATTAACTGCGCCTCTCGAACGGCACCAACCATCGTCCCCCCGCCTGCCTCTTCCTCCTCCTCTCCGCCGCCAACTAACCCCGACAATTCTTCTGACCCACCACTTCCATCATCCTCCTCCTCCTCCTTCTCCTCCTCCTCCTCCTCCTCCTCGCCCACTGCTCCAACGGCGGCCGCTCAGGCGACTGTCCCGCGCACAGCAACCGACACTACCACCACCTCCCCCGACTCCAGGGATGAGGATCAGGACTACACCTGCCCTCACTGCGACCGTACCTTCACCTCACACATCGGCCTGGTCGGTTACTTGCGAATCCATCGCACAGAGACTGGCGAACCAGTGTGTGAAGCACCAACCTACACCCACCGCACTCGCCTCCACTGCCCACACTGCCCTCGCACCTTCAGGCATCGCATGGGCCTTTTCGGCCACATTCACATCCACGAGAGCGGCCTTGACCGCACTCCCGACACACCCACCACATCCAACACATGCATCGTGCACACCCCCACCCTCGTTCCATCCGTCCGCGCCACCACCACCGCCTCCTCTGTAGCTGACACTGACACCGCCGACTTCTCATGCCCACACTGTCCACGCACATTAACCTCACGCATCGACCTGGTCGGTCACTTGCGAATCCATCGTACAGAGACTGGCGAGCCAGTGCCTGGAGCACCCACCTATACCCACCAAGCTCGTCTCAACTGCCCACACTGTCCTCGCACTTTCAGTCATCGCATGGGCCTCTTCGGCCACATGCACATCCACGACGACCTGCGGTAGACAACCGCCGGCCACACCACACATTCACTCACTCCCTACCTCCTCCACCACCACCATCACCCCACCAGAAATCAACACTCACACACCTCATGCACCCAACTGCCACCTCGCATCTCGACTCGGTCCCCATGCGGCTTCGGCTGCACGGGTGACTTGAGTCCTAGACTATCCCGACACGTCAAGCGTCGTGGATAGGAAGGTTGCTGATTGACGCCCGCTCTCGGTTCACGCAGTTCGTCGCGTTGTGTGTGTGCGTGTCCTCAGAACCGGCCACGTGGTAGATGCGCTGGACCAAAACGGGGGCCATATCGGACTCTGGCAGGCGTTATCTGTGCGCAATAACAAATGCCAACATTTGCGGGGTGCGTTGGCGGACCCTGTTGTCGGCATTCGTCGCACAACTGGACCACTGTCACCACCCCATTGTTCTGTGGTCAAAATCCTGTTCATTGGTGAGTGGACCAGGGGGTGCGGAGTGGAGCGCCAAGGCGAGGATCCGTCCGAGCCATCCACCTGCGGCCTCCCCCGTCTCCGGTCTTCTTGACTCTGTCTTGACACTGGGCTCACGCGGGGGAGGAGAGAGTGTAGGTAGATGCCACGCAAGTCTACTGGCACTATAAACCCCTGCGTAAGTCACCGTCCCTGCTCCCACAATGCAGTCTGTGGGGCACACGGTGGACATCGTCGAAATCGACGGTCGAACTGTCGTGGAGTGGCGGACTGGTGGGCTGGGAACGGGCTGAAACAGCACGTTCCACGGCACTCTCACGCAAGTGAGTGACACGCCGTTCAACCCCCGTTGTGTGAAATCCTGGTGTTGTGTGTATGGGGGGCCAGGTCGTGCCGTGGCGCGCGCAGTCATGGTCAGTCGACCATGTCAGCCACTGCGCCCATTCCCCACTCCAGTCTGCTGACCGGCTCGGACAGCAGCTGGGGTGTGGGAGTGGGAAGGGAGAGTGAGGTCGACGACTCAGCACGCTTTCTCCTCACTATAAACAATCTGACGCGCTTGAAGCTATCACGGTGCGCTAAAAGCAGTGGCTTGGAAGGTTGCCAACTGACGGGGTAACTTGGGCCTCTTCCTTGACCGGAGGCGGTCTGAGAGTCAGGCTGCAATGGCTCCTTTTTAATGTGGCCTTTATGGCACTCCCATCACAGTGTGGGATCCGAGCCAGGCGTTGGCGGCACGCCCAGGTGCGGCTTCGGCCGTGCCAGCCTCCAAATCTCTGTCGCGTTTATTGATATCCTGGTTATTTGTTGTGTGGACCAGGGGGTGTGGTGGAACGCCAAGGTGAGGATTCGTCCGAGCCATCCAATTGCGGCCTCTATCGTCTCCGGTCTTCTTGACTCTGTCTTGACACCGGGCCCAGACGGGGGAGGAGGAGAGACTGTAGGTAGATGCCACGCAAGTCTACCGGCACTATAAACCCCTGCGTAAGTCACCGTCCCTGCTCCAATTGCTGCTGCAACTGTAGGGCACACGGTTGACATCATCGAAACCGATGGTCGAACTGTCAATATGGGCCGTTTTTCAGTCACTGGCAAGGATTCCAGCACCAAGCGATGCTTAGCACAGAAATGGCAGTGGTTCTTTGGGTATTTGCCAAGTTAATTAGTGTTTTTCGAGATTGGCGTGCTACCCACATCGTTTGCGTCTTGTCATGCGGTGGACGCCTCAGCCTGCGACTCCTAAACTCATACCTATGTGGCAAGCTTGCGACTTTCAGCGAGGTGCTTTTGGGTCACTGGATTGATACGCAAATGTGTGGTGAAGGACGTTTAATAACGAGATGTCGTTCAATTACTTTTGCCCAAGTTTTATTTTAGCAGCAGCCAAGACGATACCATGAAATAGTCACTTGGACGGGAAGTCGTCAGGCATACTCGCAAAGAGGTCGTTCACATCAGCATGACATGCACATCGAAGACACTGGTTCTTATCAGGCCTACTACGTCCGGAATTCTGTCTCCCAACACAAGCTTTCAAATTCAAGGAATGCAGTTAACGTAGGATTGGTGAAGTTCCCTCGTTTGACCGTACTATGCTGCACACCATTCGTTGCAGATAAAAGTGTCATTAGACAGATGTCTTGAAACATTTTTGGTTTCGCGTTCATAAGCAAGCCGCGGCGAATCCAAACTGAGAGCTGAAATCGACCGAAGTTCGTTGTTTATCAACTGACCCACGTAAACAAAGCAGTGTTCTTTCCTCCATACATGGGGGATCCACTGACTTCAGACATAAGTAATATCCTTTTTTCGAATGACCTTGTAAAAAGAAAATTGGGGACATTAAAATAGTCGGGGCCTAAAGGAGCACACGAGATTTCGTCCAAGCTTTCCCGAAAACTTGTCAGCGAAATTCTTGCAGTTATGGCAGCATCCTGGAGGGCGTCAATAATATCAAACTGGTAGAATTTTTAGAGGGCCGTACACCCATAACTAAGGTAACGAAAATCTGTCGTGGCAAACACCTCAAACACATTATAACTTGCCAGAGCTTCACGTCGTCGGCAGTCGAATTCCTGAAGGCTGTCATTAACATAAAGGATGAAGAGCAATGGTCCCAGAACTGAGTCTTGAGGCACACCACTGATCATATTCACCCATTCCTACATATCATCCCCGATACAGACACATAGTTTCCGACCAACCAGAAACGCCCTAATCCAGTTCAGAAGATCTCCCCGGATGCCGATGGCGCTCAATTTGTGAAGAAGGCGTTGTTGCGGAACAGTATCGAAAGCTTTGCGGAAATCGATGTACATGATATCGATCTTAGCACCCTCTTCTAGAGCCCTGGTCCAGATCTCCGGGCAAGCTGGCAGATTTGTGAGGCAGGAACGTCCTCTCCGGAAGCCATGTTTATAATCCTGTCAGATGTAATTTTCTTCACAAAATTGCTGTATAGCGCTCTTTACTAGAGCTTCCATCGTTTTGCATCGGAGACAAGTTAAGCTAATAGGCCTGAATCTGCTTGCTGTTATCCTGCTACCTACCTTATGTAAGGAAGCGAGGTTATCTGAGTTCCACTGTGATAGCAGCATTCCTGTTCTCAATGACGGCTCAAAGAGAGTCGAAGGACGCTTTGACAGTTCCGCTGATAGCTCCTTAAGTATCAGCCCGGGAATTCCGTCGGGTCCTGGAGACTCATCAGGTTTTATTTGACTGAGGACGCGTCTTACATCTTCGACAGAAAAGGGCAACAGTCTCAATGACGGCATTATCTTGGCGCATTTGAAGCTCCCGGCTGTATCGGCCCATTTCAAACTGTTGATTGTCTTCTTAGGACTTCTCCGTAAAAACCGATTGAAAAACTGAGACAATAATCCTACTTTCTGTGGTCCTTCAACTAATAAGTTTCCGAGGCTATACTTTAGACAAGCAATTTCGTTCCTATGTTTCCTCCTACTGCGAATGTATGCGTAAAACTTCTTGGGACTTGTAATGGATTCCGCTATCTGTTGGCGCTCGAAATAAGTTCTAGTAACCCGTAGTGGCTTGCGCAATTTATTGCGCTGATACTTATATTCGGCGAATGACCTTGGATCTCGAAGTCGTAAATACTTTTTCTACAGTCTCTGTTTCTTCTTCATGGTCTTTTTTGTGTCGGATTGACCCACGGCGGTCGCGCACATGGTGTTGTTATTTTTATTAGACAATGTGGGTCAATTAGAGCTCTAAAATCCCGCGAAAGTACTGCCAGAATTCATCTGAATGTTCCATGTTGACTAACCAGGCTTCCTTCGAAAAAATACGTCTCATTGCGTGAAAGTCCCCCTACCAAATATTTATGCGCCTTTTGATTTTTGGTTGTTGGTTAGATAGGAGAGAGCACACGCAGGCAAAAGCAATATTTTCGCTTAAACCGAGTGAAGGTTGTGGATTCACTTCCCTTATGACTCCTTCTTCTTTACTGAAAACGAGATCTAAGCAGTTAGATCGTTGTCCTTTTCTCAGTCTTGCTCCGAATTTTATGTGTCGAATGAGGTATTCATTCAGGGAGAGTTGTAGTACCTTGCGGTCAAAAGATATGGCTCCTTCGCAAGGTTTTCCGGTAGTCTCTCGGACATTACCCATGATCAATACATCCTGATATGAATACCCTCGTCACATTTGCCTCCGCAAGTCTGGTGTCAAACTGTAGGAATCTACTGAAATCCTTTAACACCGAGGGATCTTCGGGCTGACGAAGTTCTGCGAAAATTCCCATATTACGATCGAAAAGTCCGTTGCCTAACAGGCGTTCTCCGTAACTAATCATCAGTCAAGAAAAATGATGAGCGAGCAGTGTAAAAACTCCATTATAAAATAAACAAAATGATTTGATTAACTTTAAAGGAGAAAAAGACTGCCGCTCATGAAGAGACAGAAACGCGGACAAGACCGGCCTGTATGTAGCAGTGTATAACGGATTATATACGGACATCGCCACGGCAGAAAAAATGTCATCCATGAGGGGTAAGTATGCGGGTCAGACAGGACTGGCCTGCATACGGTATTGTATAAGGGATTCAAAACGGACATCATCAGGTCAGAATTCATACGGTGGATGTGACTGTTCGCGTCAAGGTGGCGAGACGAAAGGAACCCAGACGCGATCGGTCACAGTCTGCTTCAAGCCCAGCTGGGGGGGGGGGAAGGGCAAAGGAGTTACGGCCAAACTACTAGTAAACTGCGAATACAGAGGGTTCCGCCATGAGCGTCGACAGACCGCTTGAAGTCGAAAGAAGGAGTTGACAGGAAACCCCAACATCATCGCTGCGAGCGAGGGGTGATAACAGTGGATTTAACGGCCAGTTCAAAACAGAGCGTTGTAAAGATATAAGCGAGTATAATACAAAAAAATATAAAAATATAAAAAAATAAAAAAATATGAAAATTGAAGTGTGCAGTTTGGAAGTTATCAGGCATATGACTTATATGTCCATCATGGAGATTGAAGAACTTTGATACGAATCTGACCTTGAAATTATTTTCGAATTGAATAAATTTGGGTT